TGTTCTGTATTTGTCGCGTTCACTTATCAACCATAAAAGCTATTGATTTCAGTTGAAGAGTTATTGTTCTATAGTACCTATTGGTTAGCTGTATTCATTCAGTAACAATGTGACATACCTTATTAATCATAATTTGATCAATGAAACAAAACGTAAAACTCATTAGAATGTTCATTATCAAGAGACAGCTATCCTTTGTTCATTAAGTAATAAATAAATAAAGGATTCGTGCAATTTATTTTTTTGTTTTTGTTCTATGTTGGCAAGTGATTAAGAGGAACAATTCATTCGATGATTTCATAAACTCAAAATAGAGGAGAATTACTGCTTTGTGTTTACTTGATAGGCAATTGTTTAAATCAACACTACAAACAAAAGAACTAATATAGTACCCACTACTGGTTAGTACTACCTTCGTTAATTAACTACGCCATGTACATCTAAGTATGCGATTTAACTCCAATGGCTATTTATTTACATTATAAATTTCAGTATTGACGTATAGCTTTTAAATCAAGCGTTTCAATAGATAGATAGATAGATAGATAGATAGATAGATAGATAGATAGATAGATAAGGTTCTTCTGTGCCTTATCACTGATTTTCATCTGTTCTTAAATGACTACAATCGTAAATAGGTTACCGTTTTGCGAAAAAATGAGTGGGTCGATCAATACGAACAAACTGATATCAATATGAATAGAAATTTTCCTTTGGTCATCAGATGAAAGATTTATTTCCCTTTTGTTAAATGATACGATCTATTTATCACATTGATTCATTATTGCGAAAAAGATGTGGTCGTTCAGTGCTAATACGAAAATTTAAAACGACCAATTTGAAGTAACAGAAAAAGACAATGGCATAAGTTTTGAAAAATTGTGGAGTTATTGTTCTATACATACTGGGTAACTATATTCACTCAGTGACATACCTTATTAAGCATAATTTGATCAAAGAAACAAAACGTAAAACTCATTAGAATGTTCATTATCAAAAGACAGCTACCCTTTTTTCATTAAGTAATAAATAAATAAATAAACAAAGGTTTCGTGCAATTTAGTTGCTTATTTTTGCTCTAAGTAATATTGGCAAGTGATTAAGAGGAACAATTCATTCGATGATTTCATAAACTCACAAGAGAGGGTTGCTTGGGCTGAGAATTGCTGCTTTGTGTTTTGTGGGATTCAGCGTACCCGGATTAAAGGAGAATTTAATACGGGATACCCTGCCCACAAAATACAACGCAAATTTCAAGAATGAACAACACGATAAGGAACGTTTATAGAAAATAGAACATTGTATATTTATTATCTTGTGAATAGAGTAAAAAATGATTAATGCTTTAGTTCGTTTAAGCAAAATTGTGATTTTGATAAAAATGTCTGTGTCCGCTGTTTTTTAACAGAGTAGCAGAGTAATGTGTTTCTTTTGTTTTTGTATAGTTGCAAATGAAAAAGGGGCGAGCAATTTTAGTTGAAAAAGAGAGTGTGAATGAGGAATAAAGATAAAAGGAAAATGTACTTATGAATTGTTTTGGAGTCAGTTGTAAATTTGTTGTTGTTGTTGTTGTGCTTTCCTAATCCACTTTCGGCTCTTAGTGTCGGGTTGAGTCAGTGATAAAATTTACTGTCAATCTTCTGTGATCTTTGCGCCTTTCTCTGATTAACTGGCGACTGACTTGAAAACTCTGTATTTATTGTTGACTTTTTTTTCACACTGGCTCGTTATCTTATTTTTGGGGGGGTTAGCAAATTGCCTCCTTTCATTGGTCAGAAAATTAATTTCACACCTTATTGCGAAATCTGTTTTTAATCGTTTTGATCCGATTTTGCGGGTGTGCAAATCTACTTTGTGTTTTTAGTCACTTGTTGGAATGATATAGGATTTGTATCCTATAAACCCCCCTTCAGATTGATAAATATTGAAAATATTTTTCAATATCTAATATATGTTTTAAAATGAGTAGGCCAGTGTACGTGTCTACCCGATCTTGTGGTAATGTTTTTAGGTGTGTTTGGAGGTGTAGAAAATGTTTCACTTACGTTGGTATTTGTCTCGGCTGTAGAATGTTCCGACGTACTTTCCTTTGTAGGTAAATCCAAGTACGCTGGTTTTAGTCTGTCTATAGAGACAGTGTCTTGTTTGCCTTTTGCTACAATTATGAAATATTTGGGTTTTCTGTTGACTACTTGGAAAGGTCCCGTATAAGTAGGGCAAAGAGGTCTTTTTACTGTGTCGTTTCGTACGAAAACATATTCACAATTGTGGAGGTCTTTTGGGGTGTAAAGGTCTTTTGTTTGTGTTCTAGTGTGTGTGAAAACTAGTTCATTCATTCTGTGCTTAAATCTTTGTACAAAAGATGTACTTGGTTGGAGTTGACTGGATTTATCACAAAACTGTCCTGGTAACGTCAAGGACGTTCCAAAAACCATTTCGGATGCTGTACATCCTAAATCTTCTTTGATTACATTCCGGATGGATCGTAATATTAGCGGTAGATTTTCTAACTACGTCTGGGAATCATTATTTGCAGTTAATGCTGTCTTAAGTTGCCTGTGGAAACGTTCAATTAAGCCATTGGCACATGGGTGATAAGCCGTTATTGTTATATGCTTAACTCCCAATAGTTTTGTGAACTCATCAAAGAGCGTAGATTGAAACTGAGAACCTCGGTCTGTAGTTATTACTGAGGGACAACCAAAAACGGCAATCCACTCATGCAATATACTTTTAGAGATCGTTTCTGCAAATATATCCATTAAAGAAACAACGACAGGCCATCTTATGAATCGGTCGATAATAGTGAGTAGGTAACTATGTCTGTTTGCTTCTGGTAAGGGACCCACTATGTCAATGTGAAGATTCGTGAATCTACCATCTGTTTTTAGAAAATGCCCAGGAGGGGACTTAGTATGCCTGTTTACTTTGCTTTTTTGGCACTTTAAACAAGTTTGAGTCCAGCGTTTTATGTCAGTATGCATGTTTGGCCAGACAAAACGACTGCTAATCAACTTGTCGGTTGCTCGGTATACGGGATGTGAGAGATTGTGAAAATGCAGAAATATCTTTTTTCTCAGTGAAGGTGGAATATATGGTCTTGAATAACCAGTCCCAACGTCACAGAGTAGTGTTTTTGTTCCAAATGGGACGGGGTGTTCCTTCAATTGTAAAGAAGTGTCCTCTTTTATTTTGTATAATGTGGTATCTTCCTTTTGTTCATCTGCAATGAGGTCGAAGGTAAGGGTTTCAGACTCGATAGATTGTATCGTGGAGCGCGAGAGTGTATCTGCCACGATACTGTCTGAACCTTTAATATAGCGGATATCCGATGTAAATTGGGATATGTAGTCCAGTTGTCGGGTATCTCTGGGTGTGTATTTATCTGTGTTCACATGTAAAGCGTAAGTGAGGGGTTTGTGGTCTGTGAAAACAGTAAAGTTTCGTCCCTCGAGCAGATGTCGAAAATGCCTTATTGCTAAGGAAATAGCTAGTAACTCTCTCGAGAAGATACTGTACTTCTGCTGTGATTTGTTTAATTTGACCGAGAAAAAGGAGATTGGCTTTTCTGAACCATTTACCTTCTGATGTAGAACTGCTCCAATTGAATCTCCTGAGGCGTCAGTTGTCAATGTAAGTGTTGAGTTAGCATCGTCACTGATGTAAGAGAGCTTGGTAAAATCTGCCAACGCTTTTTTAGCATTTTGAAATGCAGCTAACGCTTCTCCGTCAATCAGTATTTTTGCATTTTTCTTCTTCTGTTTTTCCAGCAAGTTTGTGAGTGGGGTCAAAATTCTGGAACAACCTGGAATAGATCTACAGTAGTAATTTATCAAACCGAGAAATCGTCTTAATTGACGCAGTGATGTCGGCTGCTGAAAGTTTTGTATTGCTGCTACTTTCTCTGGGACAGGTGTGATTCCATTTTTGTCGATCACATGGACCAAGAAATTTAACTTTGAAACAGCAAAATCGCATTTGTGGACATTTATCTTTAAGCCAAAATGTGCCAGTCTCTCGAAGACTTGTTGAATATGGTATAGGAGTATAACCCGTCTTTGACCGGGTCTTTCATTACTGGGAATTTTTGCCGTTAAATTGGAACAGTTTAAGTCAGCCCACCCAAAAATCAGTATCAGTAACAACATTTGAGTGCAACTGAGGCACATTCATAAATGGGGGGGGGTAACAATTTGAATGGTTGGCGGCCCTGAAAAAGGAACTGTATATTAATAAATAATATCATTGTAATAATTTAAACTATTTATTTTTATTAAAGTTTTTATGAAAGATATATATCCAAGAACAGATAGTAAATAGTATAACGTTGCTCAGAGTTATAATGGACAGGATGTAGTGGAGAGCCATTGTCGCCAGCAATTTAAACTCAAAACCGGCACAGAAGAATTAGCTATCAAACAAAAAAAAATGATGAAAACTGTGGAAATAACAACATAACAACATCCGATCACACACACACACACGCATTTTGAGAATTATAGATTCTGACTTTCATCTGTTCTTAAATGGCTACAATCGTAAATAGGTTACTGTTTTTGGAGAAAAAAAGAGTCTGTCGATCAATATGAACAAACTGATATCAATATGAATAGAAATTTTCCTTTGGTCATCAGATGAAAGGTTTATTTCCCTTTTGTTAAATGATACGACCTATTTATCACATTGATTCATTATTGCGAAAAAGATGTGGTCGTTCAGTGCTAATACGAAAATTTAAAATGACTAATTTGTAATAACAGAAAAAGACAATGGCGTGAGGTTTGGAAAAGTGACACGTGATCGTGAGTGCGTATGTACGTGTGTGTGTGTGTGTGTGTGTGTGTGTGTGTGTGGAACGCGATGTAAGCGTACGGATTGAGATGGTTTCATTGTATTATTTACCACCTATGTGGTACACGGCACAAAATGTGACGGAGCCATTGGTTAGGTGGGTTGTTTTTTCATTGATTGGGCTCTTCCATTTCCATTTCTTCAGTGGGATGGGCTCCGTGGTGATATCTGTGGTTTTAAATTATTCAGAAATTGTAACCTCCAACAAAATATCACAAGCATCTCTTATTCTTTGGTAATTCGTATGACATGTACCGAGGTGGCTTAAACAATTTTTTACCCTTGGCTAATATACGAGTTGGCTTCCACTGTAAAGATTTCCTTGTGTCACGGTTTGTACGAGGTGGGCGTACAAATAAATTCGAAATTCGAGCAACTGAAAAAAGTTAATGTTATTCTGTAAGCATCGCCCAGTGGAAAACGGCGCTTGAATTACTTCTACACATAAACATTTACTAAGCTTAGCTTTGTCTGGTACCGCAGTCTAAATCAAACTCATCCCATTAACGAATACTTTCAAGACAAGCTTTCGAACTATTGCTCTACGACAGACACCCAAATTACCTTTACATAGACGAGGTGGGGGCTCGAGAGATACCCCAAAATAATTGAAGTTATGTGACTCATCTCCTGTCACAAACTTCAGGAGAGAGTTTGAGCTTGTTCTCTCAAATCAAACTAAATTTTTATTCCTTATGAGCAAACAAGGCACGAATTTTTCAGAAATCTTTGATCAATCGCTTGTATGAATTCAAAGACAAATCAATCATTTCAGATATTTTATATATCAACATCGCTATAAGGGGTATTTTATGTCAACCATCCCAATTTTTTCTGGAACTGCGAACTGAACAGAACTGAATTTGTCTTCTTTTCCTCAATCATTGACAATGCTACTAAGTTGAGATCAAGGGGCTATCTATTATAGGTATCACTTTCGATGAGCTGTATCATTTGTCTAAGATCATTAATGCCATTAATTTTCGAAATAAATCAGAATAATCATTAATGCCATAAATTTTCAAAATAAATCAGAATAATGATTAAGGCCATTAATATTTAAAATAAATCAGAATAAAAGCGATATTTTCAAACGCACAGTATTGACCGACTGAAACTGAGTAATGCAATCGCCAAAAATCCATAATTGTCATAAATTAAATAATATCGTTTGCTGAATTATTTTTAAATTATTATTAAATAATTAAATTATTATGTTCGTAAGACGGGGATTTCCCTAAGAAGAAATAAAGGAAGATAAAAGTGTTAAACGTCTCCTACCAATACCTCATAAATAACTGACTAGAGGCGGAAAAACACGATTAGATTTCAGTGAGAAAATGAAAGATAGAAGTGGAAAAACGGCTGAAATGGAAAAATCTTATCATTTGTACCCACTTCTTAAAATAACGACCAGAATCCGTACTTATGGTGATTTTCTAAGCGTAGCTTAGTTATGACACAAGGCCGAAAGTACTGGGCTCCCTGTTAGGACCGAACCTCTCTACTTGTAATTGTTCTAATGAGAAAAGTTTGCTAACCATTACACCACGCCGAGTTACCCGCAACATTCATATTTATGATTGTTATTGCAATATTTTGTTAAAGTTGTTAAGCTCAAATATTTAACGATATAGGGGAATTTCTACGGGTGTTTTATTGTCTTAGAACCCGCCATTAAACTTATTCAATCATTAAGTTAAAAGTTGAGAATTAAGATTCATCTGAAAATTTAAATAGGAAAAGCGTGAAATATTCACTGGTCTTTCTGCTATTAATTTTCAAAATAAATCTTCATTTTCTGTTTTGTTTGTTGCTTTTTGTAACATTAGCTTCTAAATCTTTTATATGTTTTACATGCAATCTTATCCCAGAAAATATGTACAAGTGAAAACAAAAAAATGTGTATTAAAATCAAAAGAAAAAATGTTTGCGAATGCTATAGATCTATAAAAAAAAAGTATATCTATTCATTTTATGAAAGGATCGGATAAAAATATGCAAAATCACCAATCTGTGTTAGATATTACATTTTAAATTTAAGGAAAGCGACAAGGAAGGACTAAACATCAATTGTAAGAAGACAGAATGTAAGTTTGTTATAAAAAAGATGTGCCCAACATGCGAATATCAAGTTGAAGATATCAAAATCAGGCAAGTACAAAAATTCAAATATCTGAGAAGTGTTTTAACAGAGAATGCAAGATGCTACATCGAAATCCGAAGGCGCATAGGGATAGCGAAAGATGCCTTCCAAAAGCTAAGCGAAATATTAAGAAACAGGAAATTCTCGTTAGAAAAAAGAGGAAAGAACTGTTATGTAACATCGATCTTCCTATATGACAGTCAATGCTGGACAATCTCTTCACAGATGAAGAAAAGACTTCAGGCAACAGAAATGTGGTTCTACAGAAGGATGCTGAGAATACCATGAACTGAACTCGTGAGCAAAATGGGACAAAAAAAAGGACACTTATAATTAACATCATAAACAGACAACTGAAATTTCTAGGGCACATAATGATGAAAAGGGGCTTACCATGAACTGAACATGTAAGCAATGACAAAGTTCTAGAGACAATGGAAACAAAAAGGACACTTATACTTAGGAAGAGACAGTTGAAATTCCTAAAGCACATAAGGGAAGAG